ACAATTGTTGCGGGGTGGGGGGGGGGGTGGGGGGGCAATGCTGTTGCCGTGTGTTCTACGCTATTATGCCGCATTACAACAACAGGGAGCATCCCCTAGAGTAGAGCCATATTATACCACTAGGTGGAGCCAGATATTGCGTGACAATGTCAAGTACTGCACACTCATAGACTGCTATATACATTTAATTTGTCGCAAGGCCCTGTTCCTGCTGTGTAACATACATATTTTTATGTTTTGTTACACATTTTCTAATTCAAAAGTAATAACAAGTAATCTGGAATGATGAGTAATGTAGAGAATTACTTAATTTGGAGACTTAAGCTTTTCCTGATCAAAAGCCAATGAGCAGTCACTAACTTTATAATAATCTTCAGTTCTTTAACGTTTTAAAAGTTCTGCACACACACACACACAGAGGTGTTTGTAATTAACCGGACTGATTGGACTCACCCATTGGGGCCACTACAGAGATGTCAATCAAGCACATTTTGTACACAGTCTGACTGAATGACTCTGAACGGCCTAAAAAGAGGTCTAATCAGGCAATGAAAACAAACTGTATGTGTGCAGGGCCTTTAAACAGCTTTTCATTGAGTGTGATCCATATATCTATCTTTTCACCAGAAAAATTAAACTTACAAATACAATTGTAACTTGTTTGTGGATATTGAATCAAGACTGGAAAAAGACTGCAAATAAAAATATGTATAAGCATCAGAAGCTCTAATCTGAGGGACGCTGAGTTGAGAAACTCATTTTAGGTTACTGGAAAAGTCCTTTAGGTTTCTCTCCTGTTCCGCATCCTCAACCCACTCACCCCGACTTCTTTCGGCATGTCTGCTTGGATGCCATCGTCGCCCTCCACAGACGCTGACGTTAACAAATACTCGATTTCCTCCTCTGCCTCCTCCTCCGGGTTGGGATGACCCTCACAACTGAATAGCAGGCTCTCTGCCTCCATCACTGGATCCTCTTCATCTGCTTCCTCCTCCTCTTCCACCTCTGTCCCCTCATCCTCTTCCTCCACCTCATCATCCTTCTCCTCTTCCTCCTCCTCATAAGCCTCCTCCTGAGGGTAGCGGAACACATCTCTGTGGTCACTGAAACTTATTTGCTTCTTCCCTCCGTTGTAACACTGCAGCTCCTCGCTCACCTCCAAACCCAGCCTTTCCGGCTTCCTTTCGATCTGGGATGAAGGAAGACTGAGCAAGTGCCTTTTCTCTGCTTCCTCTTCCTCATCCTCCTCCTCCTCCTCCTCTTCCTCTATGTCTTCCTCTACTTCTTCCTCTACTTCTTCCTCTACTTCTTCCTCTTTATCCTCCTCTTCGTCCTCCTCTTCCTCTTCCTCTCCCTCCTCCTCCTCTTCCTCTTCATCCTCCTCCTCCTCCTCCTCCTCCTCCTCCTCTCGCACTATGGATAGTTTCCTTGCCATAATCTCTTCCTCCTCTTGCTCCATCCTCTCTGCCAGGGCCTCGGCAGTGGGCTGTTGGGGGTGGGTCTCCATCAGCATAATGCTCTCAAATCTACGTCTGTCACAGGGATTGTCGTACACTGGGTAGGTCTCCTCTGGGTAGCCTACAAAGGTGTAGGAAAGGAAACATAATTTAATACACCATATGAGTTTTGTTTGAATGAACAGCATCTTATGATTAAAATGTATTTGATTGATCTGGAGACAAAATCTGCTCATAGAATCTGCAACAAATGTACTTGTTGTAAAATTATGTAAGCAGCTTTGAGGTTCAGATTTAGGCATGTACCATCCCAGTCTGCACTGTAGGGGACCTCCTCAGCTTCCATCTCTGGGGAAGCTCCCTCCAACCGGCCCTCTTGCATCAGCTGTGTGATCTGTCTAAGTTGCCTGAGTAATTTCTCCTCCTTCTTTGATGTTGTAGTTTTACTCCTCCTCCTTCTGCCACTAGAGATTCTGCCACAGATATGGAAGCAGAGTCAGGCAAGATGGCAATGATATGGCACGTCACTCTGATTTACTGGCTCTTGGTTTTTCAAAGCCCTTTCTGAGTGAGAATGGATCCAGATTAGAGATGTTTTCTGTATCAATGAAGTGTGACTAATAACTATCACTTAGACTCACTTTTTGAGGCTGTGAGTCTGTGTGATGTGAGTTTTTACTTGCTTATTAAAAATAATTATTTAGCATCAGCATGTACCAAAAGGGACATGAGTATTCTCCAACAAACTAGCAACGAGATAATTTCCCCCTTCCTTACACATCAATTCGCTTCACACAGCTTATGTTATTATATGACTTTTAAAAAATAGAGTGGCAGCAGTAGCGGTTAAGTAAAATATGCCAGTGGCCTTTCCACCTTTGGATAATTTTCTCTTTCATTTTTAGCCCTTTCATTTCCATGCCAGGTCCAAGCTGATTTATCCCAGTATGAAGTTTTTTTCCTGGTGCTTCATGTGCTTTGGGCAGTGAAAAGTAGAATGTTAGGAGAAACTAAGTCTTACCTCCCAGAACCTCGACTCTTTCCAGACACAATCCTCTCCATCATCCTCTCTGTTTGCAGTAGTCTCTCCTGAAGCCTGACAAGCTCATTGGTTGCTACATGATAATATCAAAAGATAATGCATTTCTATGTAAACAGTATGCACAAATGATATGCAGGTGTGTACATGTATATGTTATGGGGTGTGTTGTTGATTTGTACTGCCACATACTGTAGGCAAAAGAGCCATTTACACACCAAATTTCCTTTATAATAACAAACATATTTTGCTACTGTGCTTTTGGCTTTGACTACTCTTTTTCTGAAGAACTTTATGTTACTAACTAATAATTATATATAATTATTTGTTAAGAAAAAAACCTAATGTTAACTGTTAACTGCTGTCCATGAACAGATCAAACTGCATTACTAGGCACCCTGGGGCTGTAATGTATCATTACTGTGTGAATTACACTATAACACAGATACTCACTGAAAATCACAGAAGATACTTACTAATCTTATTCTCCGTGTGTGCCTTGGTAACCGTAGTGTAATGTCCTGATTTATTAGTCTTCCCCTTATATGTCAGCTGTGAACATAAAAGGATTGACGATGATGATGGTTTTAATTAGAGTAATACAGCATAGCAATAATCATTTGTAAAAAGGTCTACTGTACATTCAAGTGCCTAAATGGGAAGTAAATGCAGTCAGTATTGCCACAGAGATCACCATGGTATTTCTCATTATGCTGTATTTATGTGGAAGAGATAGCATATTATAGTACCCTATAGTATAAAGCTGCATGGTAACACTTTATATGGCCTACCGTGCAGTAATTACCTTATAGATTATATAGAAGATGTAAAGAAAGACCCCAAAGCCATATATGGGTATCACTTGACCCATCAGGTTATATTTTTTGCCTCGTCCTATGCCTTTTACTTTGGCCATGGCCTCAGCACCGTGTGTCATGGAGTACGAAGGGTCCACACCCCACTGTTCTGGGTCCTCTGGCAGTGACAGCTGATGCATCACAGGGGGGTAGAACCCAGGTCCAACTGGAGGACACAAAAATCTGTCAGTGGCCATGTAGCTTATGCTCTCATTTCAGGAAATAATCATGCAAATATATGGAGTATATAACTATTATTTCCATCCTTGTTTGTTAAGGAAGTAATTTATTGTTGTATTGGAATAAATTTAAATTGATTTCCCATTTGGTCCAATTCAAAATATAATAAATATGATGTCAATATCTGGGTAGAAGCAGTCAGGGCAGACACTCTTCCACATTTATTTAAACTTACAGTAATTTATTGTATAAAATGTGTGTTGGAAATGCGAGTCCGCAAACATGCATTGTACATTTCATACCAGGATGTCCTTTGTAAACATTACTACTCAAAATAACAACAACATTTCGTCTAAATAATGCGTACCATAGATAACTACTACGAACTATTAAGATGGCTGGATAAAGCAAATTTAACAGATTTGTCCTTTTCCCCCGCCCTCAGCGCCTCTTTGCACCAATCAGAATGCTGTTGCGTATGATTGACAGTCTGTTCCACCAATTACAATCAAGTGCGCAAAAAACAGGCAGACGTAGCCGTTACGTGCTGTGTTTAGCCAGCTGACTTACAAAACAAGCTGAATGTGGTCGTTCAAAGTTTGAAATTAGCCATCAACAAAGAAAAAAAAAACATCGTTATCACAATACAGTAGAGAGATAAACCTCATAACAATCGCTTATAACTCTGAAATTACAAGTCAAAACGCGACACCTGTTTGTAGCAGGACGTATCTTGAGGATGTCCGCATGCAATGTTAATATTAGTTAACTATTCAATGGCTACCAAAAACAGAAGGAATGAAGGAATCATTCCCTGAACAGAAGAGAGAGTTGGACTTAGGTTATTGATTGATTGGTTGAGTTACTATGTGTTGTTGGTAGTTTATCAGCATTACAGTTTTTGAGGATTGTTGATAAATTCATAAATAATTTTATATTTTTATATTTTATATCATATTTCTGTTCTGTAGCTCAATTTTCTATTTCAAAATTTAGTGTAAAGCATTGCTCCAATTGTGTGTGGCAGCCAGCATGTAGCTTTTTAATTGAATCAGCCTTCACATGGTGGACTAGGCAGTAATGAAGATAAACTCATAAAATTAGACTGTATTCTACTTTTCACTGTACTCCACTGAACAAAATTGCATTTTCAACATTTGAGGTGTTATAGAAAACAGAGTTGCCCTGCTTTCAAAATACCTTTTGACAATGCTGTTATTCAGAAGGACAAATATTGTGTGGTCCCAGAAATCCAAATTATCTTTCTGACTGCAGTATTGTTTTGTTTGTTAACATAGAACCGCAGTGGTGTTACATAGAAAGTATAATTTCACAATATTATATAAATCAGCATTTTCCATGGAACAATTTGGTGTTAAAAAAAACAATATTTACAGTGTTTCATTTTTAAAAAGCAAAGTATCTATGCATAAAAAACTTACAGATATCTGATCAGAGGCTTTAAAATCGAATGTTCAAGCAGAGTGATGAAGAAGAACCCTAAAAATTTGTGTTAAGCGTCCAACCTTATCTTAAGTTCTGACGTATCAACAAATACAGCAGCTTAATCATTGTCAGTAAATGAGCTGTAAAAGCAGCAAATAATAACAATAATACACAATCCTACAACAATTTCAGCTTTACATTGTTAAATATAGAATACATAAAATTTAGGGTAGACATATATTAAAAAGTATATTTGAACATGTGCAAATGTATAGATACAGTACATATTTCTTTACATCTTAGAACATAACCACATATTTTTCAATATATGTGAACTGCATGTTTTTCTTTTTTTCTTCTCATCCATTGTGTAACATTATGATGAACATTTGTGCATTATGTTGAGGCCCTAGGCCTGGCGCACTCTGTATAGTCAGACTAACAGCTGGCAACAACAACAACAGCAGCAATAACAAAAAAAGACAGCGTAGATGGAGCGAGATGGAGATGGATGGATGATGATATGATAAGCCGCCTTACCCTCAGGCTGCCCCATCTCCTTTTTCCTTCTGGGTAAAAGCATTCTGGGCAGGAAGAGAGAAACACAGAGAACAGAGCATGATATCAGAGTAACCTTCTGGCAAGTTGTTATAGACATTTTGTCTCAGAAAAAGACAGCCTTGTGTTTATTTCACTTGAACAGTAAATCCACAGATGTCATCTCTCATCTGGTGACGTTCCTGCCCAGATTAGAACAGATTAGACCAGCTGCATTCAAGTGCTGTTTGAAATGTTGACTACAAATCCCCAAAAAGGGAATCAACTAGTTTAGTGCGTGCATTGTAGTAATAATAATAATAGTAATAATCATGCGCTGAGGATATCAGAAACACCTACAGCAACCAAATTTAGCAGATGGATGGGATTGACAACTACTACAAAAATCTGGCAACAATCAGAAACAACTCATTACTCATTACTTTTTGTTCAAGTATATGGTAGCCAAACAAAATTAATTTTCCCTCAGATTCCTTGAGTCCAGAGTGGGGACCACCAGCCAAATGTTGGTAAAATATGAAAGTGGCTGGTAGATTTCAGATGCTGGTTGAAGGTTTACATTTTAAAAGATTTCCACGGACGCATCTGCAAATGCAATCACCATTTGAGCCAAAGTTCTCCATTATTTATTGGGTCCCTAGCACAATTAAAAACCACAGCTTTTAATTTTGATTCAATCTTCACAAAATCTGTTTAATAACATAATGGACCCAGCCATTTAGCTCTGTGTTATTATGTCCACATTTGGTGCACATTCATACACAGATCAAAAACGTTTATTTCTCAAAATGGATTGATTTTACTTTGATCTAGGGTCATTGCAGCAACACAGCAAAGCTGGAAAAGTGATTTTGTTTTTAAATAAAAAACAATTTTATTATTTTCCCACTATGTTATTATATTCCTAAGTAATAAAAATAAAAAAATATATAAAAAAAGACATTTTTTTTGCCCCTGGCTGCACGCATCCTCTATTATTTTATAACAGCACCTTTTTAAATTAAGAAGGTGAAGTACTTGCAGTAAAGTTGAGTTTTTATTATAAAAAAAAAAGAGGCAGAGACTAAGAAACTACACCCCTGATGTGAAAGTATTTCTGTACTTTCCTTTGCTATAGGACAAACTATGGTGCTGTTCCATTTCTAAAACAAGCAGCGATTAATAACTCCCAAGCAAAGACCTTAAATACACAACTTGCATTTAAAAAATTGGTATTTACGATGAGTACTTGAATGCAACACATGACCTATCAACCCATCCACTTGGTAGACCCTCTGGTGTGTGTTTCATACCAAAGAGCAGCAGATGGCAGTGCAGGCTCAGATACAGAGGTATGGTGTGTGGAAGACAGGAGACAACCTAACAGTTAGATAACTTGTAGTGGAATTTATGGTGTCTGATAGATTAGTCTAACAATTTTAGAATCTAGTGACTTAGGAGGATTTTTTTGTTTGTTTTTTCTCTCCCCCAAAATCTTTGGGGTTACCACATTCATAACTCACGAGAGATGGTACACCTCAAGTGTTGCTACAATATTAGTACACACATTTAGTAAGCTCTATTAAGGCACCACTTAACCATCACTGTTGGGATGCATGTGTGGACTTCAATATTAGCTCATTGTAATCATTATTTTTTATTATAAGTTAATGAATCACTTAGTAAATTAGTCCACTTGAACTTTATTGTCCACAATGTGGGATTTGGAAAAAATGTGTTGGCTAAATTAAAAACAGACAATTAATTGCAGTTATCAAAAAATATTAGAAAATATGGAGTTAGTTAGTGAAAGATTGTGTAAGTAGGCTATATATTCAGTATTCTAATTACACAAAAATAATAGTCCTATTTTCTCCTGTGGTAGTGTGATGAACAATTTTTTTTCCAAACCATTTGTGACATTATTCCTTCATTATATTTAAAGGTGCAGCTGTCCAGTTTAGCACTTCAGCTTAAACCAACATGCACAAAGGTCAAGTAGGTAAAATCCAGAGGGACTTACTAGCAAAAAGGACCATGGCAGAGATAATAACTCCCACGTATATATTTCATAAGACACAAAAGTGATCAATGTGTTAACCCCTCAGAAATACCCAGTGAGAACAGTTCAGATACAATCATACAACAATCAGATATGTAATTGATAGTGATCTAATATTAGGTAAAATGGCTTTTGCTTTGATAGAGGAATATAATTCGCCTTACATATTCATCTGTGTCATCATGGTTACTGGCTAACCAGCAGCAATCAGTTTCTGCCATGGTGCATTCACAAGGCAAGAACCATCAAAACCACAGTTGAAATGGTGATGAGCAGCTGTACAAACTTTTGCACAAACAGATTACGAAAGAATTTAGACATCCGTGTTTAGACACTGCTGATGGCTGAAGAGAAGTGGAGCAACATGAAACTGTGTGTAGTTAACTAAGCAAACGCAAAGTTTTCTGAATTAAACATATGAATATAATTCTGAATATTTTTATAAACCTGTCAGATTGTCCTTTGAAGACCTTCAGATTAGATTGGGCTGATAAATTCTGCTTTAAAATTCAAATATGGGTCTATATGCTTTGTGTATATCTCCTTGGGGTTGACCTTCATATACAAGTGGTTCATGATCATTGTATGGATTTGGTATACTAGTTTGTTTTCTGCATGGTATATTTTCATAGCAGCCATAGTTTAGTTAGTCTTTGGTCCTACACAGTAATAACAGTATTGTAATTTTTTAATCAGATCTACCTCAGTACTTTATTTGATGCTGTTAATCATGCAATTCTTCTTAAGCATTGGTTGGACATGTCTATTGCTTTGAAAAGGTTTAAGGTTAAAAATAGCACTTAAATGTTGTAAATAGGCCCTTCTCCTTTGTGGAGTTCCCCAGGGGTCATATCTAGGTCTATTTCTGTTCTCTATTTATGTCATCTTTAGGCCATCTATTGTATAGACATTCCATCAGTGTTCTTTATTATGCAGATGATATGCAGCTCCACCTATTATGCAATTCTCAAAACCCACAGGGATTATGACTGTCATCAAAACCATTTCTGAGACATTCAAAAGTGGATGGCTCAATATTTCCTGAAGCTAGATGCAAACATAACTGAAATATTTTTCATTTATTATGAAAATGCAAATTGATTAATAACACTAAGTCACTTACACACAATGTTATCAAATACTGCAGAAAACCTGCCTCTTTTTTTTTTACAATAGCCCCCACGTAGACAAGTATTTAATTTGTTTTCAAGATTGAACCAATCATATTTTGTTAAAATGCGGAACCTGCTATCTTTGTATTTATAATTTTGCTATGTATTCTGAAATTGGCAAAAAAAAATCCATCATTGCATTTTGCTTGCTCAGATGCATCAGCTAAACATTTATCTGGTACAAAGTGAACACTCAAATTTTTGCATCCCGTCATTAGCTGCGTTCAGAATTGATTTTAAGCTCTTAGTACATTATAGGGTCCATATAGCCAGCACACCTCTTGAGGAAGTGCTTTAGAAAGGTTGTGTTTCCCCATGTTAGACAAATTTGTGGTAGCAACGGTGGCTGGTCATAAAGGTTATGAATGTTTCACAGTGAGAAGCCATCTGCTAATTAAATTGATATTAAGAGGTGCTTTGGAGGCTGAGAGGAGGCTATCTATTGCTTTGTACACCAGTAGAATCTGCACCTTTGAACCTCTAGAATAGGCTGGCCTGGATACCCTGTCTGAATATGACTCCACTTTTGTGCAATCAAACTGTTATGACCTTCAGATCTTCTGTTTTTCTAGTGGTTTGCACTGTAGAGATAGGAGGGTTGTTTAGCCGTTGTCTGGCTTGTGCTGCAAGGTGAGAGGAGGGGTACCTGGGACACCTTTGTCTATTCTTTCTTCAGGGTTTTGTGGGGTGTGAGAGTTCCTGTTGGTTGGCCCTCTACAACCAAAACATAATTTTCACTTAATAAGAAGTTGGTCTGGGATTTATGGTTGCATCGTCAGGCACCGTTTTGAGTACACTACTTTCCTAACAGCCTTTGGCCATGGTTTACCACAGTAAACTTTGAAAGGGCGGAGGTCTGTACCCATATAAAATAGCACAGCAATAGTTACCTCAATGTAACTGTACAGTTCTGTGAATATGGACATAGCACTCTAACAGAATTTTCCTTGTTCAGTGAGTGGAGTACAGCTCTTATGAGGGACAAGCCACCATCTGGTAGGGTGGTGGGTGCAACAAGTTATTTAATTATCCTGAAACAGAGCCATGTTTACTACTATTTTAGTCTGCTACTCACTGAGCAACTCAATTTTGAGACTTGTGTAGGGAGTTGACAGAACTTAATGCACATACTTTAACTATACAAAGCAGCAATCATAAAGGTTACTAGGAACATTCTGCTTCGGCTTGGTTAACAATTGTTGACAATTAAGTATTTTTTATATGTGATATTCTGGTGGTTTTAGCTGATTACTTCAGCATTGCTGTGAACTTTGGGCTTCTTGAATGTAGGGATAACAAAATGTACTACAGAAGAAAAGCTGTCTTTGAAGTCTGCACTCTACTAATAGAAGTACAAGAAAACGTCAGACAGACAATACTAGACCATCAAGGCCTTCTCAATAGTAACCTGTAGTGCATCACATGGGCACGGTCACCCCTCTCAAGCACATTGAAAATCTTAGTCTAAATAGTGCTTATAGACAGACAACAAGGACATTTAAGATACGTGAAGAATGTCAAGGCACACCAAATCATTGCTTCAGGGTGAATGTTTGAAATGAACAACATTTGATATGACTGTATGCAAATTGTTTAACTTTCAAAACTGCAAGCCTCTTGTTGTTTGAATTCCAATGTTGAGCCAAAGTGCTTTTCTTATTATACTTTTCAGACTTTTATGACAGTAAATTAAATTAAACAGTAGCAAATTGATGTGTATGACAACAACAACAACAACAACAACAACAACAACAACAACAACAACAACAACCACACATGATACAGAATTGTTCAAACAGTAAGAAGACTGAGTGCAATGATGAGTTTTTCATTGTTAGTACTAAAACTATAGTTGGTGTTTTGGATAAAGCAGGATTTTCTTTAGCG